AATCTCAATATCAAAATGAAACAAAAATCACCTAACATAAATTAACTAAATTGTCTAACTGTAAAGACTCTCCCCTTCTAATATTGCCAATCCCCTGGTAGTTCAGGGCACAATACACATTCAAACACTGCACCACTGATTTATAGTTTTAAGACAAGTTAAAAATCAGAGTATATTTTCCGTGAAATGCTGAAAAAACTACAGGCTGCAATGACAGCAAAGCACCACAGTAAAATAAGATCTTATTTTGATTTGTTTTTGACAATTGAAAGGGACAACAACATGGCCTTCGTGTGCTAGTGATACTATCAAGGGAGGGAATAAATTAGGATAACTGAATGACAGGAAGGTCAAGGTACATTTCGTTGCCAGTATGATTACTAAACCCAAGAGAACTTTACATAATGTGCTCAATGGGAGTTTCCAGCCGTACAGTACATTACTCCTTCCAACAATAGCTTGTCCTTACAAAGATGCATGCTCTTTTCTCAGAGCATACATTTCAATAACAGGCTTAAAGTCAGTGTCTGTGTTTAATTTAGGTTATTGAATAATAAGTGAGTTTTTTGTGCACTAACTAATGTCATTAAGCAATCGCTAACATTACACTGTTGATAATTAACTTATTCCAGCACAACTGCCATTTTACTTTGCAAATTTAAAAAAATAGGAATTTGAAAAACAAATTCAGCTATTCAATAGTTAGGAAAAAGCTAACCTAAGGTAGTCTAGATTTACAAATATTTGCTGTTATTTTATTGTCAAGATAGTCACACAAATCCTCTCTAATTTTCTCTCCTTGTTCAGTTTGTTAGGCCAAATTGGTAATATTTATGGAACAATTTTGTTTTAGAAAAAAACTAACTGAAAAAGAAATTACTTTATGATTATATGTGCATTAAGCAAACAGGACCAATTCGGCCCCCCACCCCCACCCCCACCCAATCTTTTTAATCAGCAGACACGCCAACCGGCAACTCACAACTCAAGTAAGAAAGATGTGGGGGGGTTAAAACAACAATGTCAGCAGTTTTCTGTAAGGGGAAAGATGAACATTTAGATGAAATGTTTTGATGCCATTTTGGTTGGATTAATGACAAGCTGCTTAATTAAAAATGTCAACAGACAAAAGTGACACAGTGAATCAATTGATCTATATTGACAGGAGAAATTAACCAATTTGTACTGCATTAATAGTTTTTAAACAGTATTATTGAGGATAGTGTTGTGTTTTGGTTCATTGAGTTTAACCCACTTGGTAGACCTCTGGATCAGGTTGCAAGAATAACTGTGGGACTTGATTTCCAGCGCTTTGGGACGTCCTCCCGACGTGAAAGCCGCTCTATAAATGTAATTTTGTTGTTGTTGTTTTCATAATCTAGACTGAAATTCCAGTGGGGCGTGCTGCTTCATGAGAGGTACCAACATGTCTTTGGATGGAACACTAAACTAGGTCTTGACTGCCCATTTTCGAGTAGACATTAAAGATCCCACCATATTATTAAAAAAAGTTCCTGGAATCCTGAACAGTCCTCCAGATTCACATTTCATTCACCTTGTGGTTATTTGTAGAACATTGGTGCATTTGTCTACATGAACAGTCACTACACTTGATAGTAATTGCTAGAAAAGTGCTTTAAAACATTTGGACACAAGCTATAAGTTCTCTTCATTCAAAATGGGACTTTCCCCTCCATTTTACTTTTGTAGAAGAATATCCTTCATTCTAGCTATTCTATCAGCACAAACAGTCACAAATGGTAAATAAATCAAAATTAACAGAAAATAATACAATATTATACCTTAAAAAGGTGTAGGTGTATTTAACCCATGCCATTGGTACATTTGATATTATTCTGCTACCAACCTGTTAATAAAGAATTATTTCAAGCAGAATGACAAACCAGCTGTGCATTTTTGCCTAAAATAGTAAGCTTACAGCCTGACTGTCTTACACACTGCTCAAGGCACGTAACTGACACGCTATAGGCTCATGACTGCATCTGTCTTTCCAGCTGATTTGGAGGCACACCAAAATGCCATGTTATATGGTACCAGAACTATTTCAATCATTGCATTTAACAAATTTTAAAAATAGTGCTCTATAAAGATATCAGGGTCACTGTTCATGTACCAGTAAGCACATGGCATTGCTTGAAAATAAATTGTCAGAACTCCCCTGATGACGAGTGGGAAACAGACCGAGAGCAGCCCGAGGCCAGACAGACCAGAAGGTTGTGAATTTGAATCCTGGTCTGTGCTGAGAGAGCTGAACTCCACGAGAAGCTACGTTTGGCGTCAGTGAAGAGAGGAGAAAACCGTCCAGAGGTCCAGAACACTGAAGTTACCAAATCAAAATCCAGTCAATGTACCTTCTAACAGCTGTCAGAGCAGCCGTGGCCGACACATGATAGCACTTTAATTACACAAGCTCAGCTTGGGAGAATCTCGTGGAGTGAAAACATCAGTGGGTTGAGGGGGAAAACAAAAAGGAATTTATGCTTACAGTGAACTCCTGATAACCCATCACTCCAAGGGAAAAAAGGGTCAATGAGTGAATATTTATCGAGAATGGTGAGTTAGGAGTATATACACACACCATAAATAAATGTGGCTGAGATATTGACAGCATTATGACTTAAGTGGTAGTGGCAAGTTAAGCCAGAGTTGAGTTATCAGGACGTTACAGCTCTTAGGGTCTTGAAATTAAACTATGAAAAAAAAGTTGAGAAATGGGTCAAGCATTCAATCCCGAAGCTACAAATTAAACTTTGTTCAGTGGTAAACTACATTATTGTCAGCAGCAGATTGACTTTTAAATTATAAATAAGGAACATACTAGTCCAGTAGATCAGGCTTTGAAGAACACTCCAAATGCATGAGTGCTTTGAATGCTGATCTACAAAGTGAGATGTCCTCCCGACGTGAAAGGCGCTCTATAAATGAAATCTTGTTGTTGTTGAGACAATGTTTTTCTAAATAGAATGTAGGAGTTTGGCTTATAAGTCGGAGTTTTGTGGGATGAAGATCCTTACCAGCAACAACAACAACAGCATCAACAACAACAAGATTACATTTGTACAGCACCTTTCATGTCGGGAGGGCGTACCAAGGCGCTGAAAGCATGATCTATATCGCCAGTCAAGTTGAAGATTCCAGACTGCCTGTTCAAGTGAAAGCTATATCCAACACCACAAGATTTTAAAGATCAGCAGAGAATTCTCCAGGGCAATTTCTCCCTTACTCTTTAATTTGTAATTTCTCTCATTGCTGCTTATGGCATAGTGCTGGTGCAATTAGCTGCTAAATTGATTAAAATATATCACTATGTCAAAAAGCAAACAGTTGCATAAAATCCTTTGAGGCATTTTGACACTATATCAAATTATTTGTCACTCTGTAAAAAAAACTTTAAGACATATTTCAAATATTAAATTAAAATCTGGCAATAACAACAATGACTCACCAAAAAGAGAAGAAGCCGCAATAAACAGTAAAGATGTTAGCACCGTCTTTGCCACGTTTGTACAATACATGTCACATGTTTTCTCACCAGAGCAAAGGTGTAAATCTCCTGAAGAGGTGACTGACACTGACAGACTTTACCAGGTGCGAGGACAGGTAACACTGACATCAAAGTGCACCACAGGACCTGCACCATCACCTCAGCGACACCGACGACTTAACTGTAACTTCCCAACAACTGATAAAGACAACGTCAAAAAATCCCGAAACCCTTTCGTTTAAAGCAACTCTTGTTTGTATGTGTAACGCCCTCCCCTCCCCCTCCTCCTCCCCTCCCTCTCCCCCCCCTCCTCTCCCCCCCCCCGGGGAAAGCCCTGATGCAGCTGTAATGCTGAGTATAAAGAAGCTTCAAAATACAATCTCCACAATAGGAAACGGTGAGCGGCTCCGGGGAGTCGCGGCCTCTCCCCCCCCCTTCTCCCCACACCCCTTACCCCCTCTCTGCTGTTATCAGGAAAACAGGCCGAGTGGGGGGGGAGAGTGGGGGGAGAAGGGGGAACATAGGCCTCTCTCTAAACACAAGTATTATCATCATTTCATCATAATCTCTTCCCCCACACACCCCCCCACTCCCTCACACCCCCCCCACTCCCTCACACCCCCCCCACTCCCTCACACCCCCCCACTCCCTCACACCCCCCCACTCCCTCACACACCCCCCACTCCCTCACACCCCCCCACTCCCTCACACCCCCCCACTCCCTCACACCCCCCACTCCCTCACACCCCCCACTCCCTCACACCCCCCCCACTCCCTCACACCCCCCCCACTCCCTCACACCCCCCCCACTCCCTCACACCCCCCCACTCCCTCACACACCCCCCACTCCCTCACACCCCCCCACTCCCTCACACCCCCCCCACTCCCTCACACACCCCCACTCCCTCACACACACTCCCTCACACACCCCCACTCCCTCACACCCCCCCACCCCTCACACACCCCCACTCCCTCACACACCCCCACTCCCCCCCCCACACCCCCCACTCCCTCACACCCCCCCCACTCCCTCCACACCCCCACCCCCCCCCCACACCCCCTCCCTCACACCCCCCCACTCCCTCACACACCCCCCACTCCCTCACACCCCCCACTCCCTCACACACCCCCACACCCCCCCCCTCCCTCACACACCCCCACTCCCTCACACCCCCCCACTCCCTCACACCCCCCCCACTCCCTCACACACCCCCCACTCCCTCACACACACCCCCACACCCCCACTCCCTCACACACACCCACTCCCTCACACACCCCCACTCCCTCACACCCCCCCACTCCCTCACACCCCCCCCCCCACCCCCCCACTCCCTCACACCCCCCCACTCCCTCACACCCCCACTCCCCCCCACACCCCCACTCCCTCACACCCCCCCACTCCCTCACACACCCCCCCACTCCTCACACCCCCACTCCCTCACACCGCCCTCACACCCCCCACTCCCTCACACCCCCCACTCCCTCACATACTCACCTCCCTGGGGACCAGTTGATTGTCCTCACTGGGCACCATGGCTGGGGAGAGGGAGCGAGAGGTTTAAATGTAGTTGATGGCTTCCCTCAGGAGGTGAGCGGGAGCCATGTTGTTTCTCGCTCTCTGTCACACACAGACTCTCAGGCGGAGGGCGGGGACAGTCTGTGACGCGGAGTGGAGGGCGGGGACAGTCTGTGACGCGAGGCAGAGGGCGGGGACAGGCTGTGACGCGAGGCAGAGGGCGGGGACAGGCTGTGACGCGGAGTGGAGGGCGGGGACAGGCTGTGACGCGGAGTGGAGGGCGGGGACAGGCTGTGACGCGGAGTGGAGGGCGGGGACAGGCTGTGACGCGAGGCAGAGGGCGGGGACAGGCTGTGACGCGGAGTGGAGGGCGGGGACAGGCTGTGACGCGGAGTGGAGGGCGGGGACAGGCTGTGACGCGCGGCTCCAAACGTGAAAATGGCGGCGGCTGTTTCCCCGCCCGCGCATGCGCACACGCCGCTACTGTTTGCAACAATAGGGGTGTCATTTCTTGTTTTCTGTGACACTGTGTGACACTGTGTGTCTGTCACTGTGTGTCTGTCTGTGTGTGACACTGTGTGTCTGTCACTGTGTGTCTGTCTGTGTGTGACACTGTGTGTCTGTCACTGTGTGTCTGTCTGTGTGTGACACTGTGTGTCTGTCACTGTGTGTCTGTCTGTGTGTGACCCTGTTCTGTCACTGTGTGTCTGTCTGTGTGTGACACTGTGTGTGACACTGTGTGTCTGTCTGTGTGTGACACTGTGTGTCTGTCACTGTGTGTCTGTCTGTGTGTGACACTGTGTGTCTGTCACTGTGTGTCTGTCTGTGTGTGACACTGTGTGTCTGTCACTGTGTGTCTGTCTGTGTGTGACCTGTGTGTCTGTCACTGTGTGTCTGTCTGTGTGTGACACTGTGTGTCTGTCACTGTGTGTCTGTCTGTGTGTGACACTGTGTGTGACACTGTGTGTGTATCTCACTGTGTGTGTGTGACACTGTGTGTGACACTGTGTGTCTGTCTGTGTGTGACACTGTGTGTCTGTCACTGTGTGTCTGTCTGTGTGTGACACTGTGTGTGACCTTGAGGTATAGATCAGCGATGATCTTATAAAATGGCGGAACAGGCTTGAGGGGCTGAATACCTGGTGCTGTGTCTATGGCGCCCAGTGGATAATTGTTCTTCTCCCATATCTGCTGTGACTTAGCAGAGGCCCCCACAGAGAGACCCCCACAGAGACCGCCACAGAGAGACCCCCACAGAGACCGCCACAGAGAGGCCCCCACAGAGACCGCCACAGAGAGGCCCCCACAGAGAGGCCCCACAGAGAGCCCCCACAGAGACCGCCACAGAGAGACCCCCACAGAGACCGCCACAGAGAGCCCCCACAGAGACCGCCACAGAGAGGACCCCACAGAGACCCCCAAAGAGACCGCCACAGAGAGGCCCCCACAGAGAGACCCCCACAGAGACCGCCACAGAGAGACCCCCAAAGAGACCGCCACAGAGAGACCCCGAGACCGCCACAGAGAGCCCCCACAGAGGCCCCCACAGAGACCGCCACAGAGCCCCCACAAGAGACCCCCACAGAGACCGCCACAGAGAGACCCCCAAAGAGACCGCCACAGAGAGGCCCCCACAGAGAGACCCCCACAGAGACCGCCACAGAGAGACCCCACAGAGAGCCCCCACAGAGACCGCCACAGAGAGGCCCCCACAGAGAGACCCCCACAGAGACCCCCACACAGAGACCCCCACACAGAGACCCCCACAGAGAGACCCCACAGAGACCGCCACAGAGAGGCCCCCACAGAGACCGCCACAGAGAGGCCCCCACAGAGAGGCCCCCACAGAGACCGCCACAGAGAGGCCCCCACAGAGAGGCCCCCACAGAGACCGCCACAGAGAGACCCCCACAGAGAGGCCCCCACAGAGAGGCCCCCACAGAGACCGCCACAGAGAGGGCCCCCACAGAGAGGCCCCCACAGAGAGGCCCCCACAGAGACCCCCACAGAGAGCCCCCACAGAGAGGCCCCCACAGAGACCGCCACAGAGAGGCCCCCACAGAGAGGCCCCCACAGAGAGGCCCCCACAGAGAGGCCCCCACAGAGAGACCCCCACAGAGAGGCCCCCACAGAGAGGCCCCCACAGAGAGGCCCCCACAGAGACCGCCACAGAGAGACCCCCACAGAGACCGCCACAGAGAGGCCCCCACAGAGAGGCCCCCACAGAGACCCCCACAGAGGCCCCCACAGAGAGGCCCCCACAGAGAGGCCCCCACAGAGACCGCCACAGAGAGACCCCCACAGAGACCGCCACAGAGAGACCCCCACAGAGACCGCCACAGAGAGACCCCCACAGAGACCGCCACGGAGAGACCCCCACAGAGACCGCCACAGAGAGACCCCCACAGAGACCGCCACAGAGAGGCTACTTATCAGCAACTCACTGCCTGTATTATTAGTTTACAGCATTTGACATATCAGTAATAATGTCAAACAAGTGACATAATGATTTAGAATGTTCTTGTTGAAGAGGTTATATTCTCTTTCTGGATATTTACGAAACATTGGAGTATTTCCAGGTTTGAATTAAAAATCTGTTCCTTCCTCTCACTATAGCAGGGATCTTTGTAATCTTGTACAAAAAGATATTTTGAAAGGAGTTGCCATTTAAATAGTTATAGTTGGAGAGGGGAGACCATTAGCTAAAAGGAGCCATTTTGTTCAAATGCAATTGTATTGTTATTAACAATAGTTACAATCATATGCATTTGCTTAGTTGTAAAATGTCCTAAAATGCATAGGTGCAATAATTTAATGACTGGATTATTTTTCAAAGGGAAGATTGCTTTGTCTGAGTTATAATAATCATCATCCTTGTATTTGATATAGCACCTTATCACATTGTCGAGGCGTCTCAAAGCGCTTCACAGAATATATTGTAAAGTGAATTGCATTTATATTTTGTGGGTGAAATGCAGCAGCCAAATGCCAACAGAGGTGTCCCAAAAACAGTTATGAGTTGAGTGACCAAATTATTAATTATTTTTGGGGGTCTTATTACCCTCAGAAAAGCAAACCACCAATCGACAACTATTATGTACATTTTATGTCTCATGATTATTGGCAGAAACTATGAAATGGCTGGTGCTCGAACAAGAGAATACACTATCTTAGGTACACAGCAACCACTAATACAATATACATATATAAATATGCACATATTGCACTTTTCACACACGGAGGAATCACACTGATCATTGATTAAATTGCAATGTCGTTCACAATATCTCTGATTAATCCCACTAAGCAAGACAAGTACTAACATTATAGTATTTGTCTATCTTTTTAACCTTAGTTCACAGTGTGTGTTGAATTTGTTTGTTGAACATTTGTCCATAACTGACGAGGAATGTCTTCCATTACAAATGATCCCAGTAGTGGTTTGAGCACTTGCCTCGCAAGTGAGAGTATCTGGGTTCGATTCCCAGGCAGGGCGAAATCTTAAGTCAAATTTCCTTACTCCTCACAACTCTGTTTACCTAGCAGAAAGTAGGAACCCAGATTGGCGGATCTCTCTCCAGGGGTAATAGAATCCATTTAATTTTATAATGACATGAATATTCATACAGCGCCTTTCATATAAAACAGTCTCAAAGCACATTGCAAAATGTAAACAGGAAATAAATCAATAGGAAATAAAAGTGAACGTTATACAGGCAAGTATGGCAGCTAAATCTGGGGGAGGCAGAATCTAGTAAGCATCAATGAAGCGAGTAGCCAATTCATTTGAAATCTGTAAATTTGGATCAAGGGGAATAGCCAGATAAACTGGGAGAAAGTTTCCATTGGCTTCTTTGGCAATACCAGAGCTGCCTTTGTGTTCTTTATTTGAATCACAGACAGAACCAATGTTATAATAATCCTTGAACATGATACAGCACCTTATCCCATTATCAAAACATCTTACATTTGAGGATTAGCAAAGCCATCAAGCGATTTCAATCTTTTGAAAGTATCAGAGGTTAACTCAAACCCCTAAATCTGTTTAACTTTGAGTAATTTACCATCTTCAGTTTTGATTTATCAAGATCAGATCTTTCTACTGTTGATCGCAATATCTTTATTTTGGTGCTTTTTTTTGAACACGTTGCAATTACAAAATGCCCCGATTCTCAAGATTTTGAACTTATTAAAATCTAGAGCATCATATATCTTGATGCAATATTACGGGCAAGTTGGTCAGCACGTTTTAAAACCCCACAAATCAATAAACACAAGGAACATTGTTCCAAACTGATTTTATTCAAAACCAAATCAAGTTGCACAAAACACATTAAAGCACGGTTTACATTCATTAACAATTGAACAGCAGGGTTTGTTTTCACAGTGAAGGGTTGTTCAAAGCTTTCTAAAACCCCAAGCCACCAGCTAGGGGTCACCGGCCTAATTTCTACTTCTGACTCCGAATGGATAGACAATTTGCACATGTTTGCAGTGCAGGGCACCGACTTCAAATCCAGACTCTAAAAGGGCTCGACGGGCTTGATGCGAGTTTCCTAAAAATATATTTCCGTTGCAAGAAATTTGTTAATCGACACCAGTAAAACACATACAATAACCTTCCCCAAACTTTCCGTTGAACATGCAATCTTGATCTAAAACACAAAGCTATAATTGTATCTATTAGAGGCAACATTCAATGCAAGAATTAACCACATTTGTTCATACCACTCTGCATGCCAACAGTACTGATCTCAAACTAGTTGTGCCTGAAAAGCTTAATCCCCATCCAGTTCCACAGGTGAAAGAAAACGTACACTGGTATCGTGATGGGGAGCAGGAGGCTATAAAAACACACACTGCCTGTACTAGTACACCCCTGAGGGAAATTCTCATCAACCATAGCCGAATACAGTAGTCCAGCTAAAGACAGAAGGGGAACCAGCACAGTTAGAGTTGACAGAGGAAGTGCCATTGTTTCAAACATTTATGTTATATTCCTTGTGTTTTGTGACAGATTTATTTCCCCCGCCTCACCGAGTCCCATTCATCCAGAAAACAGTTTGATTATTTCTGTGAATCTTCCTTGCACATATCTTCAGTTCTCCGAATCAGTCTCGCGTCCTGTGGGATCATATTTGGGATTCCATCGACAATGGGATATGCTATTCCCAACTCATCGTTTATCAGCTGATTGGTATCTTCCGCGTATCTGCAAAACCACATGAAACAACAGAATTGAGGAAAAAAAGTGGTCCATTGATGATGTCAGCAATTGGGTGAGGGGGGGGGGGGGGGGTGGGGGTCGGGGGGGGTGGGGGTCGGGGGGGTGAGGGTGGGGGTCGGGGGGGTGAGGGTGGGGGGGTGGGGGTCGGGGGGGTGGGGGTCGGGGGGTGAGGGTCGGGGGGTGGGGGTCGGGGGGGGTGAGGGTGGGGGAGGTGGGGGTCGGGGGGGGTGAGGGTCGGGGGGGTGGAGGTCGGGGGGGTGGAGGTCGGGGGGTGGGGGTCGGGGGGGGTGGGGGTCGGGGGGTGGGTGGGGGTCGGGGGGGTGAGGGTGGGGGGGGTGGGGGTCGGGGGGGGGTGGGGGTCGGGGGGGTGGGGTCGGGGGGGTGGGGGTCGGGGGGGTGGGGTCGGGGGGGTGGGGGTCGGGGGGTGGGGGTCGGGGGGTGGGGGTCGGGGGGGTGGGGGTCGGGGGGGTGGGGGTGGGGGGGGTGGGGGTCGGGGGGGTGGGGGTCGGGGGGGTGAGGGTCGGGGGGGTGGGGGTCGGGGGGGTGACCAACCTCAGGGGTCTCCGGCTGAGCGGACAGACCAGACAGGTCAGGAGGGAGATGTCAAAGGTCCTCACACTGGGGTCAGGGGTCACATGGACCAGCCTCCGGCTGCCGACTCCAGGGCCCCCCGCGACCCCCGCGCAGTGACACAGCCGCCCCCACCCCCACCCCGCCCGCAACATCGCCCCGGCCTCACACAGCACTTCCGGGTCACACGGCACCGGGGGCGGGACCAAATATATCCCCGCCCCTTCCGGGGGTCACATGGCACCGGGGGCGGGGCTCACAGCATCATCACAGTGAAGCCCCGCCCCCTCTACTGCTGACAGCCTCACTGCTCACACACTCACTGCTCACACTCACTCACTGCTCACACTCACTGTGCCCACTCACTGCTCACACTCACTCACTGCTCACACTCACTCACTGCTCACACTCACTCACTGCTCACACTCACTGTGCCCACTCACTGCTCACACACTCACTGCTCACACTCACTGCTCACACTCACTCACTGCTCACACTCACTCACTGCTCACACACTCACTGCTCACACTCACTCACTGCTCACACTCACTGTGCCCACTCACTGCTCACACACTCACTGCTCACACTCACTCACTGCTCACACTCACTGTGCCCACTCACTGCTCACACACTCACTGCTCACACTCACTGTGCCCACTCACTGCTCACACTCACTCACTGCTCACACTCACTGTGCCCACTCACTGCTCACACACTCACTGCTCACACTCACTGTGCCCACTCACTGCTCACACACTCACTGCTCACACTCACTGCTCACTGCTGCCATTGCTATGCTTTTATGCTGTGAATAACAACTGTGGCACCACGAGCCCTGAGGGGAAGGCAATGGTTTACAGTCACCACCTGAGTCTGTGCTTCACTGGACTTTAACTGCAAAGGTTGAGCTTAACTGCATGTGGAGGAGGAGGACATTCTCACGTGTACCTTCCTCGGCCTTTTGTCAAAGATCAAATGTAGTTTGTGTTGCCATCTGGTTCCCTGGAGCCGGAGCAATGCTGGAGTTTCTCCTGTTCGGAGTGTCTGAGCTCCTGTAGCTGTCTCTCTGCTGCTCAGACTCAGGATTGCAGCACTTCCCACCTGAGGTGTGAGATCTACCCTCACACACACACTGACATCTGCCCTTACCCAGAGGAAGTCACTCGAGCCACTCACGAGGCTCAGGCTTGCCCAGCAAGGGAGGCCATCCTGTCAGCTGACCTGCTGGGGGGGGGGGGGTGAAGACAGGGTTCACATTCACATTGTCCTTTGACAATTTGGGGCCTGCAGAGTTTGGGGGAGGGGCTGGTCTGCGGGGGAAACCTGGTTCCCAAAGTTTGGGCCTAATTGGGTTACTGGGGGTGAGCAGGATAAGCTCCCTCACCAATAAAAACATTTGTTTTAAATCCTCACACATTTTCTTGAATGTATGAAGGAAAGTGGGAAGAAATAAGCGGAGCCCCAGCAAGTTCACAGTATTCCAGGGCACTGCTGATGGCAGACCAGAAAGCCTGGCTATTCAGCAAGACTTGGGAGAGACGGGCACCACAGTCGCTGGGAGCAGGAATTCTTACAACTCAACTCCCATTTGCCCTGCAAGTCAAAGCCCAAATGGATAGGGTGATGGGCTGAACAAGCAACAGAACGCTTGCCAGATAGTGCTGTCAATGGCAAACCATGTGGATTTATCTGCTTAAACTCCAGCTGTTACCTCAGGTGATGGGTCTCGGCAGGTGTCAGACACCCAGTTGTACAAAAACAAATTTCCACATGGGTTTCTCCAAACTCCAGAACAATTTCCTTTCAGAATGTATCAGAACTCTAAATCATTTGTAATCATCTCAAATAAAAGTGCAGCTTAGTCTGTGAATAAGTGTCAGATAAATGTCTGGAATCCTCGATGCATGGTTTAATATGGTATCTCTGTGTGTTGCTGAATTTCATATCGGCATTCATTAAATTACTGCAGTTGTTGGGAACACAAGCAAAGTTGCTCAGCAGCAGAAAACATACAAAAACACATCCTTCGGTTCACAAGGATCACATCCAGAAAACTGATCAAAATATCAACATACTGTACAACCATGAAACTGTCCTGACAGCAATGTACCACCAGGTGGTGCCATTGAGCCAAAGCTGACACAGCAGCTCAAACCTTTCTCTGTTATTTACACAGATGTTTGGAGAGATGTTATGTTGTCTGTGACAAACAGCGACCTTTGTTATGTTCCAAAATGTTTTCGGCAGTTTTTTCCAATCCTAAAGTTTTTCAATTGTTCACAAGGTCTTTCAAATGCTTCACCATGAAATCTACAGAATAGCTTTATTTCTGTTTTTTTCTCTTATACTCTTTATTATCAATGGAATATGAAATCAATGCAGAGCTCCATTACGCAGGTGATGTTATTCACTGTAGAATTACTGGCGTACATTTACACAGGAAATTACACAATCTCAACAAATTGTCATGATTTTCTCTTTGCCTCACTTACCTCACACAAGTGAACTTTTTCCTTGTGTGAGTATGCAGACAGTGAGGGGTGGGGAGAGAAAGTGAGAAGAGCCATCATATTCAAGATGTCTTGACAACACAATAAAGTGCTATGTCAAATGTAAAGATTATTATTATGCACTCTGCTTGAAGGGCGCTATACAAATGCAAGTTGTTATTGTTATTCATGGTACATCAATGGTTCAAAGCCAACAAAAAAAGAGTTTTTGGTTCATAGATTGCCATCCACATTCAATGCTTGTCCAGTTTAGGTTCTCTCTTTGAATACTTGCTGTGGATTCCTGCACAAGAAAAATCAATCACAGACTCTTGGATAAGCACAGCTAATTATTTTCATTCCATGTCCTGTTTAGCTATGGTCCTAGCGTAGTGTGCTGTGCTGTTTGATCTGATACCCCATCAATCATTAAGAGCACCAGCATGAGACACTTCACATCTCGGAAGAAACAAGGTGATGCACAGAGAGAATGGTCAAAGATAGAAATTTACAATGAGACACAGTAATCAATGACATTTATCGGTCACCTCCTGACTTCAAACAAAAGCTTAGTATACTGCGCTTCAGTGTTAAGTAATTAAATTATTTATTGATGATTGCACAGATTCAATTTACACCAAGCCTTCGATTGCAAAATGCCACCAGGATGATCTGAATATATTTCTCTGGAGCTCAGCCGTCAAGACAAGCATGAAAAGATATTAATAAATAATAATAATAATCCTTGCATTTGATGCAGCACAGCATCTCATCATCAAGACGTTTCAAAGTGTTTCACGGGATATACTGTAAAGTGCTATTGCTGTTTGTATTTGTGGGCAAACAGATTTACGATCTGATATGCAATTTTGCACAAACAGTCATGAAGTGAGGACCCAATTTTATTTGGGGATAGTTGGACAGGACACTGGGAGAAATTCCCTTCTCTTTTTCAATAGCGCCTCAGGATCTTTAGTCTGCCTGAACTGCATGGTTGGAGGTGCCGTCTTTATGATGATACATTAAAACAAAGTCCCCTCTGCCCGTTCAGGTGGACATTAAGGATCTCATTGCACAATTTAAAAAAAGGGAGTTTCACATATCTGAACTTTATAAAAAGGAAACAGCAACTATGTATCTTTATAAATCATCTCACATCAGCGGGTTGGGGAGGGGTCTCAACATGCTTTACACGGGTGACTGAGGACAGGAGGTTGGGATGGGTGGTGGAGGAAGAAATCTGTGGAGCATTGGGGGAGGGAAGGAAAAAGGTGACTGACATCACTGTCAAAGAGATGGGTCTTAAGGCAGGCTTTAAATATGGCATTGGGGGAGGGAAAGCAGAGGGAATCTGGGATGGAATGAAAGCTCTTGTGGGGCAGATCAGACAGGGGACATGAAGCAGACCGGCACTTGTTGAAACAGATCTATTGCAGCCTTTCTAACACTAGGGTAGAAAAATAATAAAAAGAATGATCCTTGCATTTGATATAGGACCTTATCACGTTGTTGAGAAGTCTCAAAGATCTTTGCAGAATATATACTGTAAAGTTTATTGAGTGTATATTCTGTAGTAGAAACGTAGCACCCAATTGCGCACAGCAGTATGCCACAAACAGTTGTGAAACGAGTGACCAATTTATTATTATGTTTTTTTGAAGGGATTATTACCCAGGAGAAAGCACAGCAAGAAACATATGAATAAAGTAATTGATAAATGGTCATTTTACAGTGCATCTTGCCTCATTACGAGGTTATTTAGATTTATTCCCTATAATATACTGCAGTTGACTGTGTCCTGATATACCCAGGAGTGAAGATTAGCAGGAGCCACGCTAAACAAAGCACTTGGAATCATAAAGAGTGAAATAATTAAGATTAATGAAACAACTTTGATCAAAACTTTTATGTTTGTTATTAAGATCCATCAGATTTCCAGCAAAAAGACATCTTTTCACTAAGTTGCAACGTTAATAAATGTTGTCAATGTCTGACTTTTAATGGATATGGAAAATGAATTGCCTTCCACTCTTCACGCACCATGATGAAGGCAATTCTTAAAGGACAAAAATACCCAATAAATATGTTTTTTTACAATCGAGCTGTTATTTTCCCTTCTTGTAGTAATTATTGGTGAAGTATTCCAGGCTAAGTCACTGAGCAAAATCCATCTTGTTAACGCCATTAGTAAGCCTCTGATCCCAGTCAATACACAGCCAGATCCCGGCCACCCTAATACACAGAGTCAGAGGGAGCTGCACTGCTGCCAAATTTCTGAGAAAATACATTCCTGGCTTTGCCAGGAGGATTTGTTTTGTCAGCTATAATTGGAATCTCTTTTACAGAAATCACTTTTGTTATTTTTAAACCAGGAAACAAATCAAAGGTGTCTAATAGGATGAGACATTAAACCGAGGTTCGGTCCACCTGATCAGGTAGATGTTAAAGATTCCATGGCGCTGTTCGAAAAGAGAAGAGAGTTTCTCTCTCTCAGTGTCCTGGCCAACAATCCCCGCAAAAAAATGAGTCACTCACTCTATGGCTGTTGGTGAGACACAACTGTGCACAATTGTACTGCGTGGTTTGCCAACTGATACAGAATCACTCAATTCCACAGTAAATCCTGTGCAGCGTTTTCAAATAACCTTCCAACTGATAAAGATTCTTATTATTATAAAAGATAATCCTCACATTTGATGTAGCCACATCCACTGCAGTGTGCAGCGCTCTCCCCCCAGCACCGTATTGAAGTGTTAGCCCACACTGGAAGCTGTGACAAGGAATGCTTGCGACCCTAAACATCCTGGGAGTTGATCTGAGAGCTGGTGCTGTGTTTGCTTGGGCTGATGTCCGCTGGTGGCACTGTATGTAGAGATCACATGTTCAGTTTCACTCTCAATGGTCATGGACAGAATCTCAGAATGTTGCTCACCAACATTCAGCGTTCTCGAAAGGCTGAATTGCAAATGATTTACAACAAGTTTGCTGCAAAATACTTCGAATTGTGTGATCCTGTGAGTTTCTCCCTTTGTCTTCACAGGGATGTTAAATACTAATTGCATGTTGCCAAGCCCAGTCCTCTAGTTAATGTAAATATTAACTTGCTCTGTGATACAAAAGAGAGATCTGTTTGGATTACAATAGCTAGCACAATAATAAGCCAATGTTTCGCACCTTAATTTGTTTGGGGGCTGTTTTTAAACAGTTATAAATCTCAAGAGGAAAATATATTGAAATAAAACATAATAGTAATAATCCTTACATTTGATATAGCGCTTTTCACGTCGGGAGGACGTCCCAAAGCGCTTCACAGAACACACTGTAAAGTGAATTGACTGTATATTTGTGGGCGAACGCGGCAGTCAATTGCGCACAGCAATGTCCCACAAACAGTCGTAGATTGAAAATGTCCAATTTATTATTAAACATAGAAGAGAATAAAAAATAATTACAATAATAAAACATTATTATAATCAAATATAATTTAAAAATTACGTTTAACAAAAAAGGGAAAACCCAAATCAATTATCTCTAAGTTTCTCGTTTGCAAATCAACCTCAGTCAAGCGATCAGGTGGAGGGGAATGTGCGGCGCAAACCCTCCGTGTGGTTTCAGTCCAAAACAGCGCTTGAAATCGACAAATCACAATTCAAGGCATTGTGTGTGTGAAGGTTTACGCACTGAGACCCTTTAACTTGTTGTTAATTCCGCTAATTAATAAAAGTAACGACAGGACCTTCCCCTTCTCCCCCCACTCTCCTTCCTCATCCCCCCCCCCCCAGTCGGTGGCGACAGACCAGTCATTAGATGCCTTTCACAATTCTCCTGGTAACGTGGGTGAGTGAGTGAGTGAGTGGGTGAGTGAGTGAGTGAGTGAGTGGGTGAGTGAGTGAGTGGGTGGGTGAGTGAGTGAGTGAGTGAGTGAGTGAGTGAGTGAGTGAGTGAGTGAGTGGGTGAGTGAGTGAGTGAGTGGGTGAGTGAGTGAGTGAGTGAGTGGGTGGGTGGGGGCGGCTGTTCTGAGCCGCGCTGTGTTCACATTGGTTTAGTGTCTGTGGCTTTCACTCCTCCTCCTCTCCAGCACTGGACTGGATCCTCGTTGATGAGAAAGAGAAACCGAGACTCCTCGCCTTGAGAAACACGGGATAGTGGAAACTTTTCGCTGCGTCAGTTAACAACACTCGGGTACAAACTGAGGACAGAAAAAAGGTGATCGCTGGAGGCAAAGAAAAAAACCCGTTTCCTCTCCTCCGAATGAGAAATGAAAGTCCCTAAAATTGTGAGTGTGAGAGACAGATTCGGTGTCTCTGGGCTGTGTGTTTCCCCACAGTGGAGAGAGCTCTAACGCTCGTTGGCTGCACTAATGAACCTGGTTAAAGGGGAAACTGGTTGAGTGACTGAGAGATTGCAAAGGCAGATATACATTATATATAAACATCTATTTATGGGAGCAATCGCTCCCGGGACAGAGGCTCGGCCATGGCGTGGTGGACAAGGAAAGCCAAAACGTTTGTGTCGACCTGTGTGATCCTGAGCGGAGTGACCAACATCCTGTGTCTGGTGTATGTGTGTTGGGTCACCAACCGCATCGCCAACGTGAATGTGAAGGTCCAGCGCCCGGTGCCCGGTACACACACCGTGACCGAGCAGCACGAGGGCGGCAGGAGAGAGACCCTGAGGCTGATGGAGAGGTTGGATCGGTTGGAGCACGTTGTCAACCAACACTTACAAGGTTTGTGTGATCTGGGACTCGCCCCTGCGGGGGGAGGAGGGAGGGAGAGAGAGAGGGGGAGAGGGGGAGAGGGAGAGGGAGAGGAGGGGGGAGAGGGAGAGAGAGGGGGAGAGGGAGAGAGAGGGGGGAAGAGGAGAGGAGAGGAGAGAGGGGGAGGGAGAGAGAGGGGGAGAGGGAGAGAGAGGGGAGAGAGAGGGGGGGGAGAGAGAGGGGGAGAGGGAGGGGGAGAGGGAGAGAGAGGGGGAGAGAGAGGGGGAGAGGGGAGAGAGAGGGGGAGAGGGAGAGAGAGGGGAGAGAGAGGGGAGGGGGCCGCAGACTTTTTTGCGGGTTATTTAACATCACTATGTCACTGCCCTCTCACGGTGACCATCAGTTTGGTCACATCGGTGATGACGACAGCAATTTTCAGGGCACATTTGGATTTTATAATAATAGTACTGGCGTTTGACACAGCGCCTGAATACATCTTCCAGACGTCTCAAAGCGCTTCACAGGACACACTGTAAAGTGAATTGACTGAATTTTTTTTGGGGTATTGTAGTTATTGTTTTATTTGTTGTTTTGGTTTCACAATCTTTTATCCATCCGACCGATGCCTCTTAATGTTTAACCCTAACCCTAAGTAGCGATGAGGTCCTGCAGTTAATGGTGTTTTAAACGAGTTCCTTTCTGCTCCACCTCTGTCTGTCACTGATCGCTTCTCAACAGGTGAGACAAAGTGCACTCCATCAGTTACACACAGGATCACTAAACTTTGACCAATCCCCCCCCCCACCCCACCCCATTCTCTTCTTTCGCTTCCTAGCCTCAAGTGCATTGAATTGTTTTGCACTGTTTTCTTTTTTTTTACCAGAACGCCTGGTTTTAATAATAATAATCCTTGCATTTGATACAGCGCCTTATCATGTCGATGAGACATATCAAAGTGCTTCACAGAATATACTGTAAAGTAGAGTGACTGTCTATTTTGTGGGCCAAATGCGATACCCAATTGTATTATCCCGGGTATAGATAATAATAATCCTTGAATTTGACAAAGTTCTGCCTAACCGTCACGCCGGCCTCATTTTAATAATATGAAATGAACTACGATTTATTTTGATCGGAATGTCAGTGTTGAGTCGGATTTGCTTTTTAAGGAGGCGGTGACACTGCACGCTTGCCTTAGGCGCCTCAAGGCATAATCAAATAAATAATCCAAAATTCAGGGCAAAAACATTTCTTTGTTGGTAAAATATTTATTAATAATAATAATCCTTGGTTAAAGCGCCTTATCACATTGTCGAGACATCTCAAAACACTTCACAGACTATACTGTAAAAACTGTATTTTGTGGGGAAAAAAGGTGGGGTGGAGAAGCAATGAGATTTAACCAGAGCATCACTGGTTCTTTATAATTATAGATCAAACAGATTTGAATCTTAGACCCATAATGTCTGCTCTCTTTCTCGCTCCCACCCCCACAACAAGAAAAGAAGGGGGATTAATTTAACCAGTTAGTTATGGCTGACAGAAGAAAGGCGAGAGAGCAGCAAAGGTAATGTGCACTGATTGTCTCGGTGAGTGAACATTCAGATACAGATTACAAGGATATTAACTGTTTGATTGCCAGCATCAGACGCACAGAGCAAATGCAGTTGTTCATGGAATTCACGGCAGTAATTTGTGTTGGACGGGGATAGTTGGTGTGGTGTGGGTAGGTGGGTGGAGTAAGAGGTGGGCAGGGCTAGGTGGGTGGGGAACGGTGAGAGGTGGGAGCCTTGTCTGCAATTAGGACAATGGTCCATTGATCTGGACATTTGATTTAGGAAGAGTTGGGTGCCACCTGTGGCATTATTGAAAGGAAGTGGTCATGACCTGCTTGTGACCATTTGAAATCTGGGATAGAGGGAGAGAGATTGAAGGAGAAAAAAAACAGAAAGAGAGAGAAGAGGTTAGAGAGGGAGAAAGTGAGAATGAAAGCGAGTGGTTTTCTGTGGTTGGGGCTGTGTGTGGGGGATTTTGCCATTTCCCAAGGACACCAGGCACCAATGTGCCAGCCTTCACTTGCTCGACAGCCAATTTAGTGGCGTCTCTGCTAAGCTGAGCTCAGTTGCTCTTTCGGCAAAAGATTGTGTTTATCTCCGCGACTCAGGGAGCCTGTGATCTAAGGGTTTTCCTCTGAACCTGAGAGCTTGCCTAAGCTGGACTGAAAACATTGAAATACTTTTATTCATATCATCCTGAGTTTAAAAGTAAGCTCCGGTGATCTCGCCCCCACCCCACCCACCATGATATGCAATCCAAGCCCCACTTAGCAGCCTTAAATAAACTGTGTGTCAAAATCCTAAAGTCAAGAGCCGGCTGATTTATCCCTCACTTTCTTCATTATAGTTCTGTACGACAGACTGAGACAGATGATCAGAGTAGGGTAATTAGCCCTGGGCTGCAGCCAGCACAGCATACATGCGGATAAATTACGATGGACATCCTCAATTTAGGGATCTTCAGTGTACAGAGCCAAGTAAATTATGGCTTTTAGGGGCCTTGAGCAATAGCAGATAATGCATGTTAAAAAATAAAAACAATAATAATAAAAATAATAATAATAATCCTTGCATTTGATATAGCGCTTTTCACGTCAGGAGGACGTCCCAAAGCGCTTCACAGAACACACTGTAAAGTGAATTGACTGTATATTTTGTGGGCGAACGCGGCAGCCAATTGCGCACAGCAATGTCCCACAAACAGTCGTAGATTGAAAATGACCAATTTAATTATTGTTTTTTTGGTTTTTTTGGAGGGATTATTATTAGGCTCTGTGTGGAGTAAGGAAACTTGTCCAAGGTTTCGCCCTCTGCCTGGGATTGAACTCAGGTCTCTCACTTGCAAAGCGAGTGCTCTAACCACTGAGCTACAGAACTCCACGATAATAATCCTTGCATTTGATATAGCGCTTTTCACGTCTTCTCAACATCTCAAAGTGTTTCACAGAATAGACTGTAAAGTGAATTGACCGTATATTTGTGGGTAAAAGTGTGTAATGGAATGTTTGACCTTCCCTGATCAATGTAGTGTGCATCCCACCAGAAAAGACTTGAGTCACGCTCTAGGTATAATGCAGGTCTCGTTGTAAAAGCCTTTTTGATAATGTATTCTAAACTTAGCTATCTTTTCCTCTAGTCATTGATGGCACATTTTTTAATCGCTTATCATGGGATGGATTTTGGAGATCGTTAGGGCCTCGAATCTGATGAGATTTATCAAACAAGTTTTGTTAATTGTTGCTAATTCACAGTTTACATTCTCAAACATCTTCCGTATCACAGGAAATAGGGTTGAACAAAGTAACATAAATCAGTGAGAAGGAAGAGATTTGTAAATAAGATTTCTTGCATTCGGTTCAGCACCTTTCATCAGGAAGACATCTCAAAGTGCTTCATAGGATTGTGACTATATTTTGTAGGCAGTCAATTTGTGCTCAGCAATGTCACACAAAACTACAATGGCTCTTCAAGTAGTGACATGTGGGATCTTTAACGTCTACCTGAACAAGTAGATGGGACCTCAGTTAACATGGCATCTCTGACAATGCAGCCCACATTGTGTTCAGTCTGGACCGTTGGGTTCAACATCTCACAAACCCACAAACCTTCTGACTGGTAAGCCAGGCTGCCACCAACTGAGCCAGGCAGATTGACATTGGACACAGTGTAGGCAGCAGCTTTCAAGATTGCTTTGGGACACTCTATCTCTCTGCTCCACCCTTGACTCCAGGACCACTGTCTGTCAGACATCAAATCCTGGATGAGAGGTAACTTTCTTCAGTTGAACGTCAACAAGACCAAGGCTCTCCTGATTGGCTCCCGTCAGCGCCTTCACACCTCAGGCGCTGACAGCATCACCATCCATGGTTGCACACTCCACCTTACTAAGCCAGTCTGGAACCTTGGGGTATTGGTTGACCCTCAACTATCCTTTCTATCTCACATTTGCGCCATGTCCCGCTCTGCCTTGCCCCACCTCTGCAATATCGACCAGCTCCGCCACTGTCTCACACTGCAGGATGCTGAAACCCTCCTACATGCTTTCATAACATCGAGGCTCAACTATACAAACTCCCTACTTGTAGGCCTCCCCAACTCCTCCCTCCGTAGGCTGCAGATTATCTAGAACTCTGCAGCCCGTGTCCTCTCCTGCATCAGGCTCTGTGACCCTATCACTCCCATCCTTGCCCAATTCCACTGGCTTCCCATCACACAGAGGGTAGAGTTCACGATCCTGGTCCTCACCTTCAAAGCCCTCCATGGCCTTGCCCCTCCCCTACCTCTACGACCTCCTTATCCTCTACCAACCTACCCTCTACCAACCTGCCCGGTCTCTCTGCTCAGTGGGCTCCGGCCTGCTTCACATCCCCTGCCTTGCCCGCCCCACCATTGACGGGCGAGCCTTCTGCCCCCACCCTCTGGAACTCCATGCTGCAGTCCCTCTGCCTCGCCCCCTCCCTTGCCTCCTTCAAGACCCATCTCAAGACCATCCACTTTGACCATGCTTTCAATTCTCCCCACCCCCCCCCCCACTGCCCTCCACCTTCCCCAATACTGACCCCCAGCTTGGGTCCGAAACACTGATTGTCCAGCGTCTTGGGACGTCCTCCCGATGTGAAAGGCGCTGTACAATGTAACTTTGTGGTTGTTGTTGTTAGCAATCGCTGGAAGTTGTGTGCAAGTTGGATTGTTCTACATCCTGTCAAAGTGAATGGGAAGTGAAGCACGGGGGTTGGTGGCGGTGGGAGGGCTAGGCTAGGACAGCCACTCAGTGGGTTACTAGCAATAATAATAATAATCCTTGCATTAAAAACAAATGCAATAATGTTGGTTGTTTTGACACAGGAATATATTGATGCAGCAGCTTAGGCTTGCACTTCATGTCGGTGCGCCACAGATATTATAAAACCAAGTCTCAAGCCTCATCCGCTTGCTTTTTGATGGCATCTGAACCATTTATTTGACCAGAGCCTT